CCAGCCAATCTGACTTCAAAGCCTCTATTTTTAACCCTTACACTATATGGCATAAGATGAAATGTTTGGCTGCTAACTGAAAGGTTGGCAGTTCTAACCCACGCAGTGGCTCTGTGGGAGAAAGACCTGGCAATCTGCTTCCCTAAAGATTACAGCAAAAAAAAAAACCTCTATAGGGAAGTTCTACTCTGTCATGTGGGATTGCTATGAGTCGGAATCATTTGATAATACACAATTGCATCAGCAACACACTATATCAGGAGTCCCTGGGTTATGCAAATGGTTAAGTGCCCAACTACTGGCTGGAAGGATAGTGGTTTGAACCCACTCAGAGGCACCTCAGAAGATAAGCCTGACAATCTGCTTCTGAAAGGTCACACAGGTTTGAAAAGCCTAAGAGACAGTTCTACTCTGTACACTAACAACAATGACAACAACACTATATCAGCTTGCATGGTTTGTTGTCATACTAGAAGTGCATGGGGATGCCCACCCCACAGTACCCTCATTTGTCTTGCATGGTGTTGTGAGCACTTACGCATGTACACACAAATGTGTACATTCATGGTTCGCCAATTAACTGCTTTATTCAGAAGAGAACCCCAGGATTGTAGCTGCTACTGCTAAGCAGGAAGTTGGAGAACAGAGGAGCTCTCAGCAGAGAAATCTGCCGGCCTAGGAAGGAGGAAGGGACCAGGCATAAATGACCCAGGTCTTGGCTTCTCATTCTGGCCAGGGGTTGAAGGGCATCTCTAGGCTTCTTTCTAGCATGGAAAGGGTTGTTTTCTTGGCTAGGGCAGGCAGTGACAGTGTTAGAGAAGGAAATTCAGCATTGGGTGGTGAGACTTCATTAGACGTCATGGAGAAGAGGCCGCTGCCTCTCGCAGCTGGGTTTGTTCCCACTGCACCACCAATTGGGGTAAAACCGGAACTTTTCTTTATAGGTATTCAGGTTTCTTGCCAAACAGTAGGCAGCAGTTTTGTCACACTGACACAGCAGCCTCTCACAAAGGTTCTGGCCCCCTGAAAACACAAGAAAATGAACATGGGATAGGGAGTTTGTTAATATTCTATGGTTTCTCCTGGGAACCCTGAAGAAGACACAGTCCCTGTCCTCCAGAAGTTCCTAGTCTGAGACAGGCACCTATGTCCTGACATTTCTGACTAATGGAGACAGAATTCCTGCCCTCAGGAAACTAGTTCCCAGTCAGGGTGACACACAGCAGCCAAGTGCTGGAAAACTCTGTTAAATACCTTCCCAACTGCCACTGTCTCCACCTTGCTAACAGATTTGTCCAGGTGGTCAAGTGTCCAGACCCTGGGAATGGCTCCTGATTGAGGTTAGCCAGCCAAAGTAATCCCCTTTTTCTTTTGTGGTGATTGGTCTCTGGCTAACATGTGACCCCTTTCTGACCAATGAGACACAAAGGGAAGTTGCTGAGGGCTTCTGAGAAGGATTAATTTCCTCCCTCATGAAAGAGATGGATGATGGGAAAGCCCCTTTTGGAGTGTGAGGCCAGGTTGCTTGGAGCTACAGCTTGTGTCTTGACACGATGAGTTAGATACTGACAACATGGCAGAGCAGGAGGTTGGGAAAGGCTGGGTCCTTAACAATATGCTTGAGAAGCTGCACCAGCCTGGCATTGCCTTCTTCTAGACTGCTTGTTATGCAAGAGTCATAATTCCCATTGTCTAAGCCACTTTTAATTAAGCTTCTTGTTGCTTGCAACCCAAGACCTTCTAAAGATACATGACCCTATGGAGAGGTCAAAATGAGAGATCTGCAACTTCTGATCCTAAAGAACTCTTAAGGTTGTTTCATGAGAGTCCATGACCTCTCAAAATCCCACTCATGATCTGCTGTTGGGACACTGAACTTTCCTGCCAGCCACCACTCCATTTCTCTCTTCCCATTTAGAGCCAAATTTTCTCCAAAAACTTGTCTGTACTTACTGTCTCTACTTCTTCATTTCCATTTGTTCCTCAACCCTTCCAATCTGGCTTTACCCTCACCATGTCATGAGAACAACTCCCATTGAGCTCCCCATGCCTTCCTGCCTCTAAATCCAAAGGATTTTTGACAGTCGTTATCATGACAGATTCCTCTATTAAACTGACTCTTGTTAATCATCGTTTCCTTCTTGCAGCCATCTTCTTACCAACTTCTTTGACCCTTCTCTGTCAGTTTTCCTCTTTCCTTTTTGACTGTTCCTACTTTGTCTCCTTTCTGGGCCTTTCAACATTAAATGGGTGATCTTGTCCAAGTCTGCTGCCAAGTGACGGTGCAGCCTTCTGCCCTGAGCTGCAAGTTCATACATCCAACTGCCTACTGAACATCTCTTGGGTATCCCAAAGGCCTCTTCAACTCAATAGGCCCCAAACAGAACTCCTCTTCCTTCTCTCCACATCCTGGCCCAAACTCTCCTCCTGTGGTCATTATTTCAGCTGTGATACTACCATCCACACATTTACATATCCAATAGCTCCCTGTCCTCACCCCTTACCCAGTCAACCACCAAACTCAGATAATTCTACCTCTTAAGTGCATCTTCATTTCATTCTCCAACCCCTCCCTTCTTGACCACCACTGTTTTATGTCAAGCTCTTACTATCTCTTGTCTGGATTACAGCAATAACCTTCTTATGGGTCCCACTTCCATCCTGTCTCCATCCACCCTGCAGTCTGAGTGAATACTCAGAAATGCAAATCTCATCACGTCATTCTTTTGCTTAATACCTCCCTATTGCTTTAAGAAGGAGCCCAAGTGGCATAACTATTAAGGGCTTGGCTGCTAACTGAAAGGTTGTTAATTTGAACCCACCCAGTGACTCAGTGAGAGATAAGACCTGGTGATCTGCTCTGGTAAAGATTACAGCCTAGAAAATCCTATGGGACAGTTTTACTCAGTCACATCAAGTTGCTATGAGTAAAAAATCAACCCAGTGCCACTAAACAACAACAATTGCTTTAGGATAATCTAAATGTGACATGGCCTTGAAGACCTGACTTGATTTGATATTGCTGTTGTTGTGAGCTTCTGTGAGTTGGCCCCTAACTCATGGAAACCCTATGCATTGCTCAGGCTTGTGCCATCCCCATGTTCAGTTGTGGATAGGACTGTTGTAGATCCATAGTGTTTTCAATGCCTGATTTTTAGAAGTACATCATTGGGCCTTTCTTCCTAGTCCATCTTAGTCTAGAAAATCTCCTGAAAACTGTCCAGCATCATAGCAACATGCAAGGCTCCATGGACAGATGGTTGGTGGCTGTGCACGAGGTGCATTGGTCATGAATTGAGCCAGGTCTTCCCCGTGGAAGCCTACCACAAAAGTTGCCTCCAATTGGCTTAATCTAGCCCCTTCTTATTTCTCCAGCATGGCCTCTCACTATGCCTTCTCTTCTCCACAGGGTTCCATTCAGCAACACAGAATTGCTTGCAGTTCCTCTGAGCACATTCCAAGCCTTTGATCATACTCTTCCCTCTTCTTGGACTGCCATCCCTGTCCCTTTCTTTTGGCTGTCCCTGCACTTCCATGGTGATTGGAATGTAAAAGTTGGAAACAAAGAAGAATCACTGGTAGTTGGAAAATATGGCCTTAGTGATAGAAATAATGCTGGAGATCGTATGATAGAATTTTGCAAGACAAATGACTCATCCATTGCAACTAACTTTTTTTCAACAATATAAATGGCAGATATACATGTGGATTTTACCAGATGGAGTACACAGTAATCAGACTGACTACATCTTTGTCAGGAGATGATAGAAAAGCTCAATATCTTCAGCCAAAACAAAGCCAGGAGCTGATTATGGAACAGGCCATCAACTGCTCATATGCAAGCTCAAGTTGAAGCTGAAGGCAATTAAAAAAAAGTCCATGAGAGCCAAAATATGACCTTCAATATAACTCTCCTGAATTTAGAGACCATATAATAAGTAAATTTGATGCATTTAACACCTATGACTGAAAACCAGAGGAATTGTGGGATGATATCAAGAACATCATCCATGAAGAAAGCAAAAGGTCATTAAAAAGACAGGAAAGGAAGAAAAGACCAAAATGGCTGTCAGAAGAGACTCTGAAACTTGGCCTTGAATGGAGGGTAGCTAAAGCAAATAGAAGAAATGACAAGATAAAAGAGCTGAACAGAAGATTTCAAAGAACAGCTCAAAAAGACAAAGTCAGTTATTACAATGAAATGTGCAAAGACCTGGTGTTAGAAAACCAAAAGGGAAGAACATGCTTGGCATTTCTCAAGCTGAAAGGATACTGAAAGTACCATGGACTGCTAAAAGAACTAACAAATCTGCCTGGAAGAAATGCAGCCAGAATGTTCCTTGGAGGCAAGAATGACCAGATTTTGTCTCACCTACTTTGGTCATGTTGTAAGAAGGGACCATTTCCTGGAGAAAGATATCATGCTTGGTAAAGTTGAGGGTCAACAAAAGCGGGGAAGGCCCTCAACAAGATGGATTGACACAGTAGCTACAATGATGGGCTCAGGCATAGCAAGGATTGTGGAGCTGGCGCAGGACCAGGCAGTGTTTTGTTCTGCTGTCCACAGGGTCACTATGAGTTGGAGACGACTCAATGGCACCTAACAACAACAACAGCACAGCCTTTAAGACTCAGCCTACACAATTCCTTAAAAAGTTGGAATTAGAAATACCATTTGACCCAGCAATCCTATTACTAGATATATATTCTAAAGAAGTGAGAGCCAGGACAGGAACAGATATATGCACACCCACATTCATCACAGCACTGTTCACAATAGCAAAAAGATGGAAACAACCTACATGCCCATCAACAGAAGAATGGATAACCAAACTGTGGTACATACACACAATGGAATACTATGCAACACTAAAGAATAATGTAGAATCTGCAAAACACCACATAACATGGATGAACTTGGAGGACATTATGCTGCGTGAAATAAGTCAATCACAGAAGGACAAATATAGTTCATTATTGTAAAAAGTCAAGGAAAGGTTTATGTATGGAAGGAAACGTTCCTTGTTGGTTAGCAGGGGTGGGAGGGGAGGGGAGGAAACACTGCAAAAAAAAATGCATTGACCCACGTCACTTTAGTTTTGTGTATTTCACTTACATAAATTATATTTCAATAACATGTACTTAGGAAAAAAAAAAACAAAACAAGACTTAGCCTAGAGATCACCACTTTCAGAAACCTTCCCTGAACTTCAAGCTGTGTTAAGGGCATCTTCTTTTTGCTTATTTCCTATTGGATTATTTACCAAAGTGTGTTTTTTCATTTTCTTTGGTTCTCACTTAATATGAACTTGAGGCAGAGTCAATGTCCCTTTGTATTTATCTCTGACACCCAACCCCATACTCAGCATAGTGGACACTCAGTAAGGAAACTTTCTGGGGTTTAGGACTCTTTCTTACCACAGACGATTCTGCTCCCTTGTATATCAAAGTTGTAGGTCTGAAGTTTGGTGCTGCACCCATGAAACTCCAGACGGTCATAGCAGCAGTCATGTTCACGGCAGCACCTGTGATGAGGACATCCCATTGAGGCTGCTTTCCCATAGCTCAAGGGAGCCAGCTGTCCCGTGGATCTTACCTCCCTGACCCTGGGCAGAGATCTGGGGACCCTGGAGTTGTCTAGGGCAGAGTTTCCACTCTGCTGGCTGTTCTTCCAGCCTAGACTTCTGGGGGTTGTGAGCTGGAAGTGAGTAGAAGGAAGGGAGGTGAAGAGTGGCCTCACCAATCGGTATTATCCTTGGGGGTTCCTCTGCCGCCATAGCCACAGTAGCAACCATAGAAGCCATAGTCATATGCAGGGTGCTTTCCTGTCGTGAACCGGATCATTCTCCCAAAATCCAACAAGTTTCCTTGGACCTGCAGCAAGCCTGGAAGGAAATTGACTGCTCATGGGGACAGAGCCCTGTGTCCTCCCTCCCTGCCCCTCTCTGCCACTTCCCTCCCCTATCCCACTGGACTCTATCTGTCTCCCACCATGAGAGGCCCTACCACAATGGAAAGAAAAGCTAGGAGATGGGGGTGGTTCCCACCCTGGGCTACCCCCTTAGGGTCAGAAATCAGGGTCAGCTCTTACTCAAGGCCATGATTGCTGCCAACAGCAGAAGGTTCTTCATATTGAGAGTTCTGTGAAGGAGAAATGCAGGTGGATTGGCCTCGTTTTCTCTCCCAGGTGGTCCCAGCTTCTTCCCTTGAAACTCTGCTGTCCTGCTCCCTCTGCAACAACCCTGGAGAATGAAGTTTGCAGAGGAGTTCCCAAATGTTCTCCAATCCCAGGCTAAAGTCCAGGGTGACTCCCTTTGTCACACAGTACATAGGAGTGACCTCTAGCGATGCACAGACACGCATACACCCTTCGGACTCTTCCCAGGTTTGTTGAACAATTTCACACACATACACATACAGACACACACACACGACTTCAGAGCCAGCAAGACCCCCAAAGAATACACTAAGAAGATACCCATGATCCGCTTCGGGTGGAGTTGGACTGGGCTCTTCTTGACAGATGGGGAGATTCCCAAGATCAAAGTTGTGTCTCATCCATTAGATATATCATGCATGTTCCCACACTGAATTCAAGGCTTGGGAGTTCCATCCATGGAGTCTGATTCCAATATTTTTCTCCAGCATCCTCTCTTTGCAAGACTTTCCAACCCCTTACACATATACACATACACAAACAATGTTCTCTCTCACACACACACACATACACCTTTGCACTCATTTACTAGTGCAAGCATCCTTTCATAGAACACATTCACATACCCACACAACAGCTTTGTGTAATATACCCTCCTGTACACAACAAAACATGCACATGCATGCATCTGCACTTTCATACCTATCTATGCATGCATACACACATATACAGCACAGCTACTCTCCAAGGCAGTGAGTGGACAGAAATCCCTGTACTCATGACAGGGCATTAATTTCTGGGTACTTACCAGAATGTCAGAGTTGATATCTCCAACTGACTGTCACATCTATTCTGAACTCTAGTCCCTCTTAAATAGCTACTTTCTCTGGGAGGCTGGGAGTAGCAAGGGGTGGGATGAGTGTGCAGCCTGTTGGTGGACTTACAGTTTAGCATGTCCATGCTCCTGGTAAATCCCCTTTTCTTTCCCTCATCATCTGGCAGGAAAGAGCTGAGGATGGAAAAAATTTTTGTGCCATGAGACAGATGCCAGAATAAATTTTAAGCAGTTTTGAAGTTTTTTCTGTGGGCTTAACTCCTGATCGAGTAAATTCTCCAAACTGTCTCTGGGTGTGACCACCAATCAGCTCCCTGCACCCACCTTCAAGAGTGAACAGAGACCATCAACTGCTATGGGCTGGGAACTCATTTGCACAGCTAATGGGACCATTTGTGGCATCTGGGACTAAGAAACAGGGCATTTAGTGTTTCTTCATCACAGGCACTACACTCTATGTCTCTACAAAGTTTGAGGACCTGTGCAAGTCCTTTGGGAGGTGATGAGGAGTATACCCCTGTCTTGCTCATGGAGACACCCTGGTCCAACAGGGAAAAGAGTGTGATGGGGTTGATATTCTCCTTCCTGCTTATTTGAGCCATTGCCTCTACCTTCTCTTCTTCTCATCTTCATCTCCTTTTCTTCTTCTGTATTAGTTTCTAAAACTGGAAAAAGCCAAAGGTTGTCCTTGAATTTCCAACCCAAGCAATCCCCCCTTCCACATTATCCCCAGTCCTCATATGTTTAGAGACAAGACTGATAAATGCTTCCTGGATCTATTGCAAGGTCCCTGGATTGTACAAACAGTTTTCAGTAAGCTACTAACCTAAAGGCTGGTGGTTTGAACCTACCTAGGATGACCATGGAAGAAAGGCCTGGCAATCTGCTTCTGTAGAGAAGCAAGCCAAGACAACTCAATGGAGCATAATTCTATTCTGTATCACACTGGGTCACCAAGAGTCAGAATTGACTGAATTGGAGTGAGTTTTGTTTGTTTTTTCAATCTATTTCTCTTTTTCCTTCAGCCTTCAGGTATGTAATGACTCCAGCTTTAATTTGTAAAAGAAACACTTTTTTCCAGGATAGAGTGAGATAAAAATGTGGAACAAAACTCAAAATCATGAAAAAGACTAGATTTACGGGTCTACTAGAGACTGGTGAAGTTCCTGAGACTGTAGCCCCTAGTCACCCTTAGGGCATGGAATTGAATCAGTCCTGTGGCTTCCAGCCAAACAATAGGGCTATAAGGTGAACATTTATACCAGGTAGGTGCACTCCTTAGAATCATCAGTGATGGAGATCAGAAGGGCAGTATTTACACAGGGAGATAACTCAAGGTTAGCACAGGAGAGAAGGACACGGAGGAGGTAAGCATAGGGGGGAAGTGGAAGGAGAACTCTTGCATTGGAGGGATTGCAATCAATGTCAGAAGACAAAATGTGTATGACCTGTTGTATAGCAAATGAATTTGCTCTGTAAACTTTGACCCAAATCACAATAAAATAAATTAAAAAACAAAACCCCCATCTTTTTTCCTGCCCTCCGGTAAGTACTAAGAATTTAGCTTCCACCAAAAACCCAAACCCACTGCCACTGAGTTGATTCTGACTCAGAACAACCCTAGAGGATTGAGTAGAACTGACCCATAGAGTTTCCAAGACTATAAATCTTTACCAAAGCAGACTGCCTCATCTTTCTCCTGTGGAGTGCCTGGTGGGTTTAGAACCACCAACATTTTGGTTAGCAGCTAAATGCTTTCACCACTAAAATACTAGAGGTCCTTTAGCTTCCATGGCCTTTTATATAAACACTCCTCAATACCAGTCCTAAAAAAGTCACTGGGACTGCTCCTGAGGTGGTATTCCCAGATAGTCCATCTGCTCTCCACACTCTCCAGCCTCCTTGCAGGTAGGTCAGACCACAAAGTAGGTTCTGGCTAATAAAATGGGAGCTTTGGTGCTGAATGTCACTCCAGGCTGAGACAAGGAAAAATCACATGCAATTCCCTAGCCTTCTCTGCCTCTGATCATAGAATCATAAGATGGAAGCAGCTTGGATCACTGAGTCACAGCATGGAGAACAACTGTCCTTAGACTGTCATGTAAACACTCTGTATGTACATGTCTGTCTATCTGCATTGCACATTCAGATAGGCTGTGCCTCAAAAGTCCAGACAAGCTGTAAGACTGCTAGGAATGAGACACATACTCACTGATATTAATCATTCTATAGGTGCTACGTTTATCTGTGATCAAGCTGGATAAACAAGACGCTTAACAGAATGTTGGCAAAGTGAAAGCCATTATTGTTTATAGAAAGAAAGCAGTAAATATAAACAACACATTTCCAAAGGGAAAACACTAACCCTTCCCCAAATTACCCATGTCCATTCGTGAGTCACTGAGTAAGTGTACTGTGCTTCAGGTCAGATACTGTTATCAACTCATTGCTGCCTCCAGCTACCAGTACATTGCTGGGGCGCCTGCACAACTCCTGAGCTTTTTTGTCTGTTAGTAGTCCTCATTGAGCTGAAATGGACTGATTTGGGCCATTTTGAATCAGACAACCATGTGGTCTACTATACTGGGAATGACAAATTGAAGAGGAATGGCATGGCATTCATCATCACAAAGAATGTTTCAAGATCTATCCTAAAGTACAATGCTGTCAGTGATAGGATAATATCCATACACCGCAGAAGAATAGAGTTAGAAATGTAGTAACCTTAGTCTGTTTCTTAACCATTTAGTTTATTACTTAAAGAATGTAACAAGTTTGATAGGAAATCTTAGATACTGAAACTTATTTTATTAGTTACTTAAAAATTTTAAGATTATATATGCAGCTTAAGTAGCAACTATTTTAATGAGCATAATTCACTTAGATAACTTTGTGACTAACTTTAATTTCTAGCCCAAATTTTTTTTTTGCTAATATTAATTTAGGTAAGGCTCAAGGTATCACCAGGCCTAAGTTTCACTTTTCTTACTTAAGTTTTGATTTACTAGAATAGACTTAGTTATAAGAAATCACTGTTGTACAAACACCAATCAGTTGTTGTTGTTATGTGCCATCAAGTCAGCCCCGACTCATAGCGACCCCTCCTTGGGTTTCCGAGGCAGTATCACTACAGAAGTAGGATTGCCCAACCTTCCTTCTGAGGAGTGGCTGGTGGGTTTGAACAGCCTGCCTTCTGGTTAGCAGTCAAGTGCTTTAGCCACTATGCTACCAGAGCTCCTCAAACACCAATCAGAAGAGCCAAAAGCTGGAAAGTCCCGAAGAGGGACCCTTCCCCAGCAGGAAATTGGAAAGTCCCAAACTTGCACCTATCAGCCACCGCCAAATAACAGAACTCCAATCATTACTAGTTAACCTCTTCGTATGTGACCGCCCCTTAAAAATCTATAAAGGTGCAAGACATAGGGAGCCAGAGGTCTTCTGCCCAAACCGCTGCATTGGTGTAAGCGGAGACCCCAGCTCGAGCTTGGAATAAACTTTCCCTTTGTTTTTACATTGTTGAGTCAGTGTCACATTCCTCGCGCCGACGTTCCTTTCCAAATTCGGGTCCAACAGCACCTTCAAGGAAGAGCAGTTAATACTACTATTATTCAAATTTACGCATCAACCACCAAAGCCAAAGATGAGAAAATTGATTATTTTTACCTACTTCTGCAGTCTGAAATTGACCAAACATGCAATCAAGATGTGTTTATTATTACTGGTGATTGTAATTCAAAAGTTGGAAACAAAGAAGAATCACTGGTAGTTGGAAAATATGGCTTTAGTGATAGAAATTATGCTGGAGATTGCATGATAGAATTTTGCAAGACCAAGGACTTACTCATTGGAAATATCTTCTTTCAACAACACGAACATTGGCTATACACATGGACTTCAGCAGATGGAGTACATAGGAATCAGATCAACTATATCTGTGGAAACAAGTGATGGAGAAGCTCAAAGCAAGGTCAGGGGCTGCCTGTGGAACAGACCATCAGCTGCTCATAGGCAAGTTCAAGTAGAAGTTGAAGACAAAAAAGGTCCATGAGAGCCAAAATATGACCTTGATTATATCCCTCCTGAATTCAGAGACCACCTAAAGAATAGATCTGATACA